ATTTGAATCCTGGTTCTGTAACTGAGGAACTGTGGGACCTTAGGCAAGCCCATCCCTTTGTTTTTCTGAGCCTAAGTTTTCATCTATTAAATACGGTTACTATTTCTCTCACAAGTGTCTATAAGGAGGGGGACAGATAAGGCCCATAAAGCATCGACTGTGAAGAACTTGTGAACGCAAAATCAACAGGAGTCCCCATTCTCTCACTTGCCCTCCTCCCTTCATATCATAAAACATGCAAAAATCCAACTCATAGTGACCAAGAATTGGAGGACAGTTCATTCTCTAAATGTACTGTCTCCTCTCTTTGGCAGAGGACTCCTTTAAATAAACCAAGCTCCTCATTTCGTATTCAAATGCCCTTTTCCTGGCTCCCAGTGGCCTGGCAGAGGGCACACCATAAATACTTGCAAGTGCCTAACTGCACAGGTGCACTCTCTTGAGTCCTAACCTCAGGACATGCTCGGTGTCTCCCCAACTAGCTTCCATTAACAATCTGCTTGCTGAGCCCTAGCTCAGGGAGAAGTGGGTGGAGTGGGAGTGACATATTGAGCTTAATTTGATGAGTCTTTACAGGGGAGACAAGGTGTAGCTTTAGCCTAGTAGGCTCTTCACCCCTCCCTCACTCCCTCCCATCCTTTCTTCCTTCTTCCCATCCATCCACCTACCTACCCTCCCACCCACCTATATACCCACCCATCTGTTCATCCATTTTCCCACCCCCACATACCTAGTCACTCACCCACTTATACCTCTATCTACCTACCTTGTGCTCACCCACCCTCTCCTCCACTTGGACACCATTCCATCCATCCATCCATCCATCCATCCATCCATCCATCCATTTGTCCATCCATTCTATTTACCCACCTATCTGTCCATCCATTTGCCATCCATACAGTCACTCACCCACTTATACCTCTATCCACCTGCCTTTGCATTCACTCACCAACTTCTCCACCTGGCCACCATCCAGTTCCATCCATCCATCCATCCATCCATCCATCCATCCATCCATCCATCCAATTTACCCAGCCATATGTCCATCCATTTGCCCATCCACACATTAACTCACTTACTTACATCTCTATCCACCCACCTTTGCACTCACCCACCCATTCCTCCACCTGGCCACCATCTTATCCATCCATCTATTCACCCATCCTATCCATCCACCCATCCATCCATCTATCCACCCATCCTATCCATCCACCCATCCATCCCTCTACCCATCCCATCCATCCATCCATCCATCCCTCCATCCATCCATCTCCATCCTATTCATCTACACATTCCATCCAACCATCCCATCCCATCCATCCAACCACCCATCAACCCCATCTGTGCAACCATGCATCCCTCCATCCCTCTATCCATCCATCCATCCATCCATCCAACCATCCCATCCCATCCATCATCCATCCGAGCCATCCATCTAACCATCTCATCCATCCATCCATCCATCCATCCATCCATCCATCCAGCCATCCAATATTTCCTGATACAGTACTGTGGCTCTGTGGCTAAACAAGACAGACATGGTATCTGCTCTCATGTTGCTTGTAATTCGGCAGAAGGGAGACAGACCTTGACCATCAAATTTCCCAATGAACTACCTAGTTAACAACTGGAATAAGTGATATGAAGGAAAAATACAGGTATCTATGAGACCATATAGCTGGGGTCATGACTAGTCTGGGGAGGCAGAGTTAGGAAAGCCTTTATGGAGGAAACAATGTTGAAGCCAAATTATTCATTCATTTGTTCACTCATTCAGTGCTTTTAGGAATCAGCATGGCCCACTGTGTGAATCAACTCTGCCATTCCAGGCCTAGCTCATAGCAGAGCAAGACTGAAATGTGTGCTCGGCATGGCCATGTGTACAGTCTTTAACCAGTACTGGGTGTGGCTGTTACTCCTAGATCTGGGACAATGGGGTCTTGTCTGACCCCTCCCAAGAATTTCTAATCCAGCTTTGGGAAGACATAGTGGTATCAGGAGAAGAATGGAGAAGAGACAAACAGACTGAGGCTTAGAGAGCTTGTCAGACTTTCACCTTGACATCATGTTCAAATCGTCCCTGCTACCGAGAAGGAAATACAGATGGCTCTGAAGCTGATGAAAAGATGCTCAATCACGCTCATAATTAGGAAAATGCAAATTAAAACTGCACTGAGATACCGTTTGTCACCTGTTAGATTGGCAAAGCTCAAAAGAGGCTTGGTAACGTCGTGTGTTGGTGAGGGAAGGAGCAAGAGGCTGTGTCATACTGCCCACTGGGAGCATAAGTGAATACACTGTTTACCGAGGGCAATTTAGCAATAACTGTCAAAACTGTGTACCCTCTGACCTCATAATTCTGCTGCTAGGAATTTATCCTACCAAGAGCTCATGTGTGTGTGAAATGGGGCACATGCCCATTTATTGAACCCTGACCTCGTGCCAGGAGCAGTTCTAAATGCTTCCCTTGAATTCACATGTAATCAACACGATGGGCCCAGGTTGGTGCGATTGATCTCCCCATTCTGGAGCATTCATGACAAGCTTATTTGTAATAACAAGAGAGTATTAGCTGCTAAATGCCTATCAATAGGAGAATGGTAAAACAAACTGTGGTCTATCCATAAAACGGCATGGTATGCAGCTATAAAATAGGATAAGGAGCAATCTCTAAGATAGAGTTTTAAGTTAAAAAGGAAGGTGCAGCCTGGGTACAGTGGCTCACCCTTGTAATGCCAGCTCTTTGGGAGGCTGAGGCAGGCAGATCACCTGAAGGTGGGAGTTTGAGACCAGCCTGAGTAACATGGAGAAACCCCATCTCTACATAAAATAAAAAATTAGGCAGGCATGGTGGCGCATGCCTATAATCCCAGCTACTCGGGAGGCTGAGGTAGGAGAATTGCTTGAATCCGGGAGGCAGAGGTTGTGGTGAGCCAAGATTGTGCCATTGCACTCCAGCCTCAGTAACAAGAGTGAAATTGTCTCAAAAAAAAAAAAAAGGAAATGCAGAAAACAGCATAGGTAGAATGTATTATAATTTAGTTTTTTTTTTTTTTTGAGAAAGTGCCTGCGGATAACTTACCCCCCTTTTTTTTTAATAAAAAAAAGATATGTTCGTGTGTGTATAAATAAATACATATATACATATATACATACATATGGTGACAGGTCTCGTTTTTATATCTTTCAAAGATTACAAAAAAGTTTTTTTTTTTCAAATAGAGATGGGTTTTTTTCATGTTGGCCAGGCTGGTCTCGAACCCCTAACCTCAGGTGATCTACCCACCTCGGCCTCCCAAAGTGCTGGGATTACAGGCGTGAGTCACCGCACCTAGTCTCTTTCAAAAATTCTTTTTTAAAATAAACTTTTTATTTTGGAATAATTTAAGGCTTACAGAAAAGTTGCAAAGAGAGAAGGTAAAATCCCAGTACACCCCTCACTGGGTTTCAGTTTCCCCGAATGTTACCATCTTGCATTACCGTGGTACATCTGTCAAAACTAAGAAACCCACATTGATATGTCACTGTTAACTCCAGACTCTATTCCGATTTCACCAAACTCGTTTTCTACTAAGGTCCCTTCTCTGTTCTGGGATCCAACCCAGGTCCCCGACTGTATTAGCCGTCATGGCTGTTTAGTCTCCTTTTTGAATTTCGATTCAGGCAAATATATTATCCATTTAAAAAGAAATAAAATTGAACGTTAAAAACCACCTCCTCCTTCCAAATCTCTGAACAGCAATAACAGTAACAGTAACAAAATGCTTGCTGATGTTAAAAGGAACCCACCTTCTGTCCCCCGACCCATAAGCCTTTCCATGCCTTTTGCTCTCCAGGCTATGCCTCCTCAAAAAATCCTTCCCAACGTGGAACTCAGAGCTCTCTGCCCTGGCCCCCTGAGACACTGCATGAATCTCTCTTATACTGCACTTATCACTGCCTGCCTTGCTTCACAGTTATTTATGTAAGTGTCTGTCTCCCTGCGGAGACTGTGAGCTTCCAGAGGAGGGGATGGGATCTGCGTGCCCTCTGCTTCTCCTTCCCAGGGTCAGATAGGATGCTTTGACCCCAATACACATTTGCTGAATTGACACCTAGTCCCTGATGTCAGAAGGAGGAGGAGGGACGCATTTAGGGAGTTAAAAGGAGCAGAACAGCACTTACAACTGTGGGCTGGTGACCCACAACTAATAAAACCAAATGGTAATAATAATTATAAGGATAATAACGATAATTCTAGCAACTTCTATGGTTGAATAATTGAAATTTAGCTCTTTCCATGGATGATATACTTTAATCATAGTAATAGCTCTATGAAATAGGTGTTCTTACTATGCCCTTTTTCTTTGAGATGGAGTCTCGCTTTGTTGCCTAGGCTGGAGTTCAGTGGCATGACCTTGGCTCACTGCAACTTCCACCTCCTGGTTCAAGCAATTCTTCTGCCACAGCCTCCAGAGTAGCTGGGACTACAGGTATGTGCCACCATGCCCGGCTAATTTTTGTATTTTTTTTTTGGTAGAGATTGGGTTTCACCATGTTGGCCTGGCTGGTCTCGAACTCCTGACCTCAGATGATCTGCCTGCCTTGGCCTTCCAATATGCTGGGATTACAGGCGTGAGCTACCATGCCCGGCCACTATGAGGTCCATTTTAGACATGAGAAAACCAAGGCTCAGAGAGATAGTGACCAACACATGGGGTGGGGGGTCAAGAATGCTGCTGAAATTGACATGCAGGATATTCTGATGTTACAACATACTGAATTTGGTATGTCTACCTTTTACTGAAGAAATTAACGCTCAGAGAGGTGAAGTAATGTGCCCAAGTCTACCCAGCTACTAAGAGGCAGAGGTGAGATTGGATCCCAAGTCTGGTTGACTCCGGTCTTAACCAGATTGCCCCCCAGACACCCATGCCAGAGACCCGAGGACTGCCCATGGGGAAGGACTCTGCTCTCCCCTAGTTTCAGTTTCCAATGGCCCCCACCTGAGTCCCGCTTACCTGGCACAGGAGAATCAGAGGCTCCCGGAACTCGGCCTGACAGATGGCACAGATGTCACCGGCTTCTGTGCACTGCTGTCCAGTGGCTCGGACTCCATAGTTCTATTTGAGGGAGGGGAGAGGCAAATAGAGCTATGGATGCTCATGGGAGCCATGCCCTCAGGAGCACCGTGAGATCTATGGGCTGAGGAAGGGGCTGCTGCTGTTTCCAGCCCTTGATTCCAGGACCTTGGTTGGTACCACCTGAAGCCCACTCACCTGTGAGGTGCAGAGAAGTTTCAGGGCTTTTCTAACTCCGCCCACGCGTCCACAGATGTCGAAGGACTGAAAGGAGAGCAGGATGGTGGCTGGAAAGTACCCAACAAACTCTCACAACCCCCATATAATCACCTCACCCCATCTCCTCACCCTGCACCCAATTTTGACTCAGAACATTTTTAGGGCTCTTCTTCCCATTTGCATGTCTTCCTTCCCAACAGTGTTGCTTGGCTTTTGTCTTGCTGCCTAATATCAACAGTCTCCCTTGTTACCTAGACCAGGATACCAAATATATGGCACACATGGTGCCTATTTCCCCTCTCAAGTCCATGGCAGGCATTGCTAATCAATCACAGCACTCTTCCTCTGAGCCCAGCCTGCCCTGATAACCCTTCTCCATCTAGCACTCCAGTCAGCCACCGTGTTGATCAGAACCAGCAAGTAATCGGTACATCCCAATGACTGATACTGCATGGGTTGCCTGGCCAGTCCTGCTGGAAGGAAGGAAAGCGAAAAACTCATGCATCCTCCCAGGATTCTCTAAAGCCAGAAATGGAGAACCAAAGAGAAAGAAGGAAGTATGGATATTTAGGGGGAAAACCCCTCTGATTTGTACTAATGATGAAGAGAAAAGCACTGCACACTAATCTGAGGAGTTGAGGGCGTGCAATTTAACATGGATACTATTTTGAGGTAAGAGAGAGACAGAAAACATTCAGTAGATGTAGACGTGTGATTAGGAGCTTTTGGCTTTAGAGCCAGCCTGCCTGGGTGCAATGCCTGTTCTGTTGTCTTTACCTGAGTGACCTTGGGCAAGTAACCTTATCTCCCTGAACCTCAGTTTCTCAACCCATAAAATGGGAGTAACGGGGGCCGGGCTGGGTGGCTCACGCCTGTAATCCCAGTACTTTGGGAGGTCGAGGTGGGTGGATCACCTGAGGTCAGGAGTTTGAGAACAGCCTGGCCAACATGGTGAAACCCCATCTCTACTAAAAATACAAAAGTTAGCTGGGTGTGGTGGCGCATGCCTGTAATCCCAGCTACTAGTGGGGCTGAGGCAGGAGGATCACTTGAACATGGGAGGCAGAAACTGCAGTGAGCAGAGATCGCGCCACTGCACTTCATTCAGCCTGGGTGACAGAGTGAGACTCAGTCTTAAAAAAAAGAAAGAAAGGAGTAATAATAGCACGTACCTTGAAGGGTTGTGAAGATGATTATTCAAAAGAATATCATATGGTGAGCTTCTTTTCTTTTTTTTTTTTGAGATGGAGTTTCGCTCTTGTTACCCAGGCTGGAGTGCAATGGCGCCATCTTGGCTCACCGCAACCTCCGCCTCCTGGGTTCAGGCAATTCTCCTGCCTCAGCCTCCCGAGTAGCTGGGATTACAGGCATGCACCACCATGCCCAGCTAATTTTTGTATTTTTAGTAGAGACAGGGTTTCACCATGTTGACCAGAATGGTCTCGATCTCTTGACCTCGTGATCCACCCACCTCAGCCTCCCAAAGTGCTGGGATTACAGGCTTGAGCCACCGCACCCGGCCATGGTGAGCTTCGTAAGTGAGAAATTGGGGTAGATTCAATCAGAAAAAATACTGATACGTGCTCTACAATGTAGACGAACCTCAAAAATACAATGCTAAATGAAAATGCCAGACATAAAAGTCACCTATTATGATTTCATTTATATGAAACATTCATAATAAGTATATTCATAGAAACAGAAAAAGTAGATTCATGGCTGCCAGGGGCTGGGGGAAGGGGAGGCTGGAAGAATGGGGAGGGACTGCTTAATGGGCACAAGGTTTCTTTTCAGGGTGATGAAAATGTCCTGGAACTAGACAGAGGTGGTGCTGGTTGCGTGACATTGTGAATCCGCTCAATGCCATGGAACCGTACACTTTAAAATAGTTACTGGAGGCTGGGCGCGGTGGCTCATGCCTGTAATCCCAGCACTTTGGGAGACAGAAGTGGGCGGACCACTTGAGGCCAGGAGTCCGAGATCAGCCTGACCAACATGGTGGAACTCTGTCTCTACTAAATATACAAAAAATTAGCTGGGTGTGGTGGTATGTGCCTGTAGTCCCAGCTATTTGAGAGGCTGAGGCAGGAGAATCACTTGAACCAGGGAGTGGAGGCTGCAGTGAGCCAAGATTGCGCCACTGAACTCCAGCCTAGGCTTCAGAGTGAGACTCCATCTCAAAACAAATTAAGTAAAATACAATAAAAATAAAATAGTTAGTGGTTAATTTCATGTTGTGTGAATTTTCCCTCAATTAAAAAGAAACTAATATGGGTGCTCCAGCTTCCCCAGTTGGCCCGTGAGGCCTGGCTAGTGAGTGGGGCTCTCCTTAGGCCAGCCCTCCAGCCTTGGGGTCACCTTACCTTGCAGAGGCTGTAGAGAACCATCAGGACTCCTCCCAGAAAGTAGCTGTTAGAGGAGTCATCTCCCATGATGTATTTGTACCACAGCTGGATGGGGACAAGGGATCGGAACAGCTGGCTCAGCTCCTCGATGACCAGATAGAACTTTCCCTGTAACCACACAGAGAACATCAATTATTATTAGCAGCAGTAAAGGCCCAAAGGAACAACTGGGGCCCCCCTGGCCCCAGGCAGTGATGACATTCCAGGTCACAGGCAGGCCATTCATCAGCTCTGGAAAGCACTCAGGCCAGCTCCTAATGGGGCTGCGATATGGCCAAGGAGACACAGCCCCTGCCTGCTGCTCTCACGCACCACCCAGCTGCCCAGTAGATCAAAGTGCCCAGGACTGAGGATCGAGTTTCAGGGCAGAAGAAACGCTACACCTTTGGGCAGAGGGCTGGAGAGTGGGTCACCCTCTGGGTCTCCCATCCAGACCATCCTCATCTTTAGAGGGCTGACTCCAGCATCACAGGGAATTGCTGTCAGGAGCCCCAGCAGGATGGGCACAGAGTGCAGGTAAGGCCAGGCCATAAGGCCCATAGCAGGGAGATACGTGTCCTTCCCAGCTCCGCCACCTGCTCTCTTCCAAGGAGGGAGGATGAATACCTAGTGAAAGAACAGGAGCCAGTTGCGGTGGCTCATGCCTGTAATCCCAGCACTTTGGGAGGCCGAGGGGAGTGGATCACTTAAGGTCAGGAGTTCGAGACCAGCCTGGCCAACTGTGGCAAAACTCCAACTCTACTAAAATTATAAAAATTAGCTGATGCGGCGGTGCACCTGTAATCCCAGCTACTTGTGAGGTTGAGGCAGGAGAACTGCTTGAACTCTGGAGGTGGAGGTTGCATTGAGCCAAGATTACACCATGTATTTCAGCCTGGGCAACAGAGCGAGACTCCATCTCATTAAAACAACAACAACAACAACAAATACAACTTGGGTGCTCACGCTGGGCTGGGATTGAACCTGACCTTGCTGCATGTTCATGACCCTTAGTTTCCCCATCTACGAAATGGGAATCAGAATTCCCACCTTACAGGGTTGCCCTGAGGATTAAGGGAGATGAACAGGATAAGCGCCTAGCATTACATTCCTGGAGAAAAATCCTATTTCTCTTCCTCCCCTGGACCTTAAGCAGGTCCCTTAAGCTTTCTGTGGCCTGTGTTGTAAAATTGAGACGAAAATAAGCCCACTCTGGAGTGTCTAATAAAGCGGAATACATACTTTATGACCCAGCAATTCTACTCTGAGGTATTTACCCGAGAGAAGCGAAAACACATGTCCACATGTATGCCAATGTCCTTACTGGCTTTATTCATAAAGTCCCCAAACTGGAAGCAGCCCAGACACCCATCAATGGAAGAATGAATAAAAAAATGATGGCATATTTATACAACAGGATACTGTCCAGCAATAAGAATACACGAATGGCTGACATTCGTGACGACATGGATGAACGTCACAAACATGATGTCGAATCAAAGAAGACAGTCATAGATGAGAATTTGTTGTATAACTCTGGTTTATATTAAGTCCTAGAATAGGTAACACTAACCTGAGATAATAGAAACCAGATCCCTGGTTGTCTGGGGTGAGGGGTGGGGAGAACTGACTGTAAGGGGGAGTGTGAGAAAATTTTGGAATGTTTATATATAGGCATATATATACACACATATATACGTGCACATATATGTATATATACACATATACATATGTATGTGTATATATATTTTTTGAGATGGAGTCTTGCTCTGTTGCTCAGGCTAGAGAACAGTGGCGCCATGTCGGCTCACTGCAACCTCTGCTTCCCGGGTTCAAGTGGTTTTCCTGCCTCAGCCTCCCAAGTAGCTAGGATTACAAGCACTCACCATTGTGCCCAGCTAATTTTTGTATTTTTAGTAGAGATGAGGGTTCACCATCTTGGATAGGCTGGTCTTGAACTCCTGACCTCCTGATCCACCCTCCTCGGCCCCCTAAAGTGCTGGGATTATAGGCGTGAGCCACCATGCCCAGCCACATACATAGAGACAAGGTCTTGCTACCTGGCCCAGGCTGGACTGCAGTTGTGCGACTATGGCTCACTGCAGCCTCAACCTCCCAGGTTCAAGCGATCCTCCCACCACCTCAGCCTCCCAAGTAGCTGGGACCATGGGTGCACGCCATCACGCCTGGCTAATTTTTTTGTATTTTTAATAAAGACAGGGTTTCATCATGTTGCCCAGGCTGGTCTCGAACTTCTGGGCTCAAGCAATCTGCCCCTTGTCAGCCTCCCAAAGTGTTGGAATTACTGGTGTGAGCTGCTGCATGTGGCCTAGAAATATGAAATATTTTATATCTTGATTAGATGGGGGATACATAGGTATGCACATTTGCCAAAACTCACTGAAATATACACTCCAACTGTGTGCAATTTATTGTATTTAAACTCTGCTTCATTAACGCTGATTAAAACAAACAAACAAATAACCCTGTCCCAAGCATCCACATTTATAAAAATATGAATAATCTCTCCTCCAACAATTCTATGTCTGGAAATTTACCCTAACAAAACAGTCAGGGATATGTGCCTATAAGAATGATCACTACAGCATTCTTTGTAATACTGAAAAAAAAAGGTAACAAACACAATATACAAAGAGAGGGTCTGATTATGTTAGAGATCTATAATGGAAAGCCATACAGTCATTAAAATTTATCTTGAAAAAACAGCAACTTTATGGTGAAGAAAGCAAACATAGGTCATATTAATCAAGTGATCAAGGTTAACATCCCCAGTGAGAAGTCATTTTGACATCCTGAACCCTCTCACATGATGTTCTGAGAAGACACATATCACTTCTGTGATATTCTGGCCAAAATAAAATTCAATCTAATCACGAGAAAACAAGACAAATCCAAGTTGAAGGATATTCTTCTTCTTCTTCTTTTTTTTTTTTTTTTGTAGAGAGACGAGGTCATGCTCTGTTGTCCAGGCTGGTCTCTAACTCCTGGACTCAAGGGATTCTCTGACGTCAGGTTCCCAAAATGCTTAGATTACAGGCATGAGCCATTGCACTTGGACCCAAGTGGAAGGGGCCCAACACTCTTCAAAAATGTCAAGATCATGAAAGACAAAGAGAAGACCAAGGAATGTGAGGATAGAGAGAATTAAGGAGGCGTGATAAGTAATGCAACACACGATCTTGGATTCAATCCTATTTTTTCTCTCTCTCTCTCTCTCTTTTTGAGACAGTCTTGTTCTTTCACCTAAGCAGGCTGGAGTGCAGTGACACAATCTCAGCTCACTGCAATCTCTACCTCTCGAGTTCAAGCAATTCTCCTGCCTCACCCTCCCAAGTAGCTGGGATTACAGGTGCAGGCCACCACATTCAGCTAATTTTTGTATTTTTAGTAGAGATGAGGTTTCACCATGTTGGCCAGGCTGGTCTTGAACTCCTAACCTCAGCTGTTCCACCTACCTTGGCCTCCCAAAGTGCTGGGATTACAGGTGTGAGCCACTGTGGCTGGCCCGATTCAATCCTATACTAGCAAAAAAAAAAAAAAAATAGGCCAGGTGCAATGGCTCACGCCTATAATCCCAGCACTTTGGGAGGCTGAGATGGGAGGATCCCTTGAACCCAGGAGTTCAAGACCAGTGAGACTGTGTGTCTACAAAAAATCAAAAGATTATCTGGGAGTGGTGGTGAGTGCCTGTGGTCCCAGCTACGTGAGAGGCTGAGGTGGGAGAATTGCTTGAGCCCTGAAGTTTGTGGCTGCAGTGAGCTCTGATTGTGCCACTGCACTCCTGTCTGGGTGACAGAGTAAGACCTTGTCTCAGAAACAACAACAACAACAAAAATAAAAAAGGAAAAACAAAATAATGTCAATGGAGCAACTGGCAAAATGTGAATAAGGTCTGTAGTTTAGTTACTAGTAACAGTATTGGTGCTCATTTCCTGCCTTTGCTAATTGAACTCTGGTATAGTATATATCAACATTGGGGGAAGAGGAGTGAAGGGTATGTGGGAATTCTCAGCATTATTTCTGCATATTTTCTTTAAGTCTAAAATGATCTCAAAATTAAAAGTTAAAAAAGAAATGATCCAGATGAAAGATATCGTGTGACCCAAGAAAATGCTCATATTATTGTTCAAATGGAAATAATACAATGCAGAAAAAATACTCATTCTCTTTGTGTTTTTCTGCTCCTTCCACATTTTTTATACTCAGCATGTGATATGTTTAAATTAGAGGAGAAATGAGGCTGGGCGTAGTGGCTCATACCTGTAATCCCAGCACTTTGGGAGGCCAGGGTGGACAGATCTCTTGAGGCCAGGAGTTCAAGACCAGCCTGGCCAACAGGGCAAAACACTGTCTCTACCACAAATACAAAAATTAGCCAGGCATGATGGCAAGTGCCTGTAATCCCAGCTACGTGGGTGGCTGAGGCATGAGAATCACTTGAACCCAGGAAGTGGAGGTTGCAGCAAGCCAACATCGCACCACTACACTCCAGCTTGGGCGACAGAGCAAGACTCTGTGTAGAAAAAAAAAAAAAAGAGGGAAAAATGTTATAAAAACAAATTGCATAGCCACCATATGTGTGGCATGTAGACAGAGACTTTATAGCCACCGTTTATATTCCATCTTGATGGGCTGGACACAGGCCACTCAGAAGAGGACCCCTTGGAGCACATATACCCACATCTACCAAGGACCGAGAAAGGGCATCCAATCATCATGCATCCCATGCCTGATTTTTTGTGACTAGTTGACCACCTCCCGTTGTGAGATCATCGTCTCCCAAAGGGCCCTCCTTTCCCCTCCTGACTTCTACCAGTCCCTGAGCTCCAGAAACCTCCCCTGGAGAGAAATGCTGGTTTCCCTCTGGAACCTTTGGGAAGATGGAGGTAACTAGAGAACAGAGATGTAGGGGGTGGCCGCCATGCTTGTTTTACATGGACAAGGACATAATAGATGCTGAACCAATGGACAGCAACTCAGTGGATGTCAAGGGCTAACCAAACCTGTCTGTATCTTGCTGCAGACCCCAGGATCTGCAGAATACCCATGATTTGAACTTTGATTTCCTGAACCACCCACCCTCAGCTCCCCCATGTCTCCCTCATGCC